CATTGATATGCATAGATTTAACCCATGAACCTCAAATTTACTAAAAAATCTATCGAAACAAAATTTTAACATAGAATGGTAACCAACATTAAAAGCAAATTTTTGATGAAAAACCAAATGAAAAACATCAAAATATATTAGAAAATTAAAAAAAACTTAGAATATTTGATTCTTTTGTTGACAGGCAAGTTAGTAAGCTCAAGTGAATAAAAATTAAAATATCAAACATTTAAAAAATAAATTTAAATTCACCAACTTAACTAACTGAAACCACAACTAGGTAGATTAATTTTATACCCCAGGTTAGTTAAAATATGAATGAAATCTAGGTTTATATATGCTCTAGAGTAGTCTTGTCTAGAAGCCTAGGTTAGATTACTAAATACAACCCCCCCAAGTTAGTTGCCAAGGAATAGTATTATAAAAACTCAAAGCCTAAAAATCCCTTAGATTATGTAGGTGCTCTAGAATGAGGCAATCCCATTCACTAATGAAGATACCTCTTACCACTTAATGGACCAGTATAACTACATCGCCATAGCTACGACAATAATAGTGACATTTGACAATCTGGCTTGTTAATAGTCTATGACTATCGATGAACCCGAGATGATGGTAAATCATAAGTAGCTTAACCAAAAACATCATAACCAAAATTTAGGTTAGTTCACACTTAATTAATTTTCTTATATATTTCAGAGTCTCTTGGGGATATCACTCAACTTTTATCTAGAAATTAACTAATCTTGTCCATCTCATAAAAAAAAAATCATTCCAACTATTCTTGTCCTTTAATTTCATAAATTCATTTCATAAATCAATTTATGACCAAACCTACTGAATCCAATAAATTCTTTACAAAGCCCTTTAATCCAATTGATTTTTGCCCAAACTCCTCGAATTCTATCAATGTTATCCTATCCAACACTTTTTGAATTTACATTAAGTCTATCAAATCTAAATCTTTTAAAAAACGATCAAATTTTAAACTTCAGTGTACACCTCCCTCTTAGGGTTGGTCAATCCCTTTCATGGATCCCTCTATGATACATCTTCGTTAGACTGTAAGTCCCTAGCCTTGAATTCTATAAACAAGTCCTTACAACTCATTAACCTACCTCATTTAAAAATCCTAAAACACCAATATTGAAATATCCAAACTTGAAATCCTAAATAGTACAACCTAATACTTTAATCCATATTTTTCTTGAAATATCACAACACCTAGGATTTAATTCAATATGCTAGGGAATGATGGGCGGCAAGGCGGACGACCAACATCTGAGGTGATGGCGACAATTGTGAACTGCAGCGATGGCTGTCGACAAGCGGTGGTGACGGTGAACAACAACGGAAAGCTTGAGTGAGTCCAGGCGCGTAGCAAATAAAGGGAATGAAGTAGATGGAAGAGAATCGGCGGCGGTCATCAACAAGCAATGGTTTTTCGAACTTAGAAAACAAAAAATGAAAAAAAAAAAAAAAAAAAAAAAAAAAAAAGAAAAAGATAATCAACTTTTAACCAATATTTACACTTACGCCCCTGGAAAATTAAGTTTGTCATAAATGTCCCTGCATGGCTTGGGAATTACGCTGCAATTATATAAAGGAATTATGAGAACATCACCAAACTAACCGCAAGGTTTGGATCGCTTAGAAGTAGTAAACAATTGGGGCCCCATCCATTATTTATTGTAATATTACAATTTTCAACCCCTATATGTCTAACAAACAACGAACAAGCATTAATTGAAGATTGCACAATAATGACTGCTCAACTAACACACTTCATTAGTTGGAAATAATCATCAATTCAGATTCATTCTCACAACATATAAACTCTATTTCGAGCTTTATTAATCTAAAGTTTGCGCAATTTATGAATTCCCCAACTATAATCCCATATATATATATATATATGTGTGTGTGTGTGTGTGTGTGTGTGTGTGTGTGTGTGTGTGTGTGTGTGTGTGTGTGTGTGTGTGTGTGTGTGTGTGTGTGTGAATAACCTGGCTCATTGGTGCGGCCTCTGACGTAAGTCCCTCGGATCGGGGGTTCGAATCCCGTGATGTGGGCTCTTCGAATCAGAAGCAAATACACCAGGATTTTCAACCATTTAGAGAAATCAATATTTGGTGCCCATCGAACCAAATATCGATTTCACCTTTAATATATATATATATATATATGGATAAATTGAGAGTTGGCCAACAAATGAACAAATTATTGAAGTACTGTTATTGAATGTATTGCGTTAGTGGTCTCTTTTTCTTCCCCGCACGCAATTAAGGAATTCATGAGTCCTGTGATGGCTGGTTGGCGTGCTTCCTTTTGCAACCACCGTGGCGAAGAGAGCTTGCTCCTCCATCCGACCTAAGTCACTTTGGTCCAATTTCATGGATTGGGACATTTATTGTTAGAGTCATTTACACACATTCCAACCGATTCTTATGTATTTATATAATTAATATTTGAGTTTTAAGTTTTGAACATTTATGCCTCTCAAATTTTTTTATATTACATTAAAAAACATTATATGTACATTGAAAATGAATCGGTGTTGATCCTGAGGAGATTTGGCTGTCCAGAGAAAAAGAGTACGATAAAGGATGACCCATCGACATAAGACCGAGAGGCCCATTTAACTGATTGGGTGAGCCAAAACCGAGGGTCGATCAAGCCATGAGGAGGACAAGAAAAAAACCGAGTAATTCAAGCCCAACCATCTCGGGGGAGTGATAGAGGTCGTGTTAGTGAAGGATGATAAGTTTATCTTCTCTTTTGATTTCATCATTAAAGACATGGAGTAAGATAAGGAGATCCCCATCTTACTTAGCCGACCCTTTTTATCTACTAAAAGAGTAATGATTTATGTGAAAAGGATGACTAAGATGTAAATTTTAATCTTTTAAAATTAATGAAATTCAACCAACGCTCTTCTAATAACCAATGGCATGAGGTATATGTGGTGGCAAGGTTAGTTGATAGTTAATTTTATGAATTTGTGGAGGTAGGCCCTAGAGCAACATGTGGTTGAGGATGGTTGTGAGAGACTACGGAAGAATCCAAACTACTTCTAGAAATGATCCCAAGAGTTATTAAGGATAGGCTTGAGCTTGTGAACATGACTACCAATACCAAGCCTTTAGTGTTTTCCATAGAAGAAGCTCTAAAGTTAGAAGTGAAAAATTTTCTTAAGTACTTCAAGTATGCATCTCTAGGAGAATCTTCTACTTCTACTCTTATGAATACTTCTGATTTGAGGGATTTATAAGAGCAGAAGCTGATGATATTCTTGTATTAGAAATTTTTTTCTTAGGATTTATCATCCAAGTCAACCCCCCGACATATTCTTAAGAAGATTACTGTAGATGTGAGATGGTGAGAATAAGAAAATTCTGAATAAGGGTGGTCGGAGGAAAACATGTATTCAACAAGATCCAAAGTTAGGATGGAGATTTAATGAGTTGGGCAATCCTCCAAGATAGTTAAAATTTGAGAATATTGATCAAGGATTGTGAAAAGGCAATTTGATCCTGGAGGAAAACCTTAAGATTGATTTACTTGGGTCAGGCTAAGGACGTTAAACCAAGCCCTATTTGAGAGGCAACATAAGTGTTATCTTATATTTTGATTCATTTTTTATTATGATTTGTTTATATATTTTCTTTTAATTTATTTCAAATTTTCTTTGTGTGTTATTATTTCAAAATTCACTCATTCAACATCCAAATTTGAAAATTCACTCATTCAAAAGCCAAATTTGAAAAAACATTAGTTAGAGTTTCTGTAAATTTCAAAATTTCTTTAGCAATTTAAAATATATATAAACGATGGCGCTAATTTTATAAATAATAAAACACTACGTGCTATGTATATAATTGACCAAAAAAAAATAATATTAATGATATTTTTAATATAATATTAAAAATCTTGATATATTATAAATACGTTTTGCTAGTTAAATATTAAATATACAAATATATTTAAATTATGTGATGCATGTCAACCCACCTCTCTCAAATCCTACACACACGGCCTTCCCACTTTATGCCCTCCATACATTTCTTAAGGGAAAAAAATACCCTCGAGAAATTAGTTACATTAAAAGTACTGTTTAATTTATAAATTAAAGCAATTTAGGGTTTGTTTGGGGTAGTTCTAGCTTATTGAATAATCTACTAATAAACTGATTAAAAAAAATTTGTTAATAAATTATGTACGGTGGCTATTACAAATTTTTAATTTTTTGAAAAAATCAGACTGTTGTCAATAAGCTCCCACCACATTTATATAGATGTGATGTGAAAACACTGTTTTATGCATTTTGCAAACGCATAAGCTGCCAAAACACAGTTTACCCAAATAGACCACGTGCATTTTCAAAAGGCCACCGCACCAAATAAGCTGCCCCAAACGTGCCCTTAGTATGCCTTCATGCGGTCACTAAGAAGGAAGATGAAAAAAACATATTATATAAATTAATCTATTTCAACATATGTTATGGCCAATATAGTTGCATTTAAGAATGTATTTGACTAATACTATTTCGAAATATTCATATATTTTGCAGTAATATGAAACCATGGCTTGGTAAATCCATCGAAATTTAATTAAAAATTAAACTATTTCGAATAATGTAATTTAAAAATATTATTAGAGTAATGAATTTATTATTTAATTCTGATTTTAAATATGTTCCACGTCATACACAAGTGGGCCCAATCCACAAAAGTCGGCCCAACCAACTCTCCCCCAAGGCCTTAATATAAGCTCACCCCGCATGTCTTCCTAAACGCAGCCCTCTCCCTTTAAAGTTTCTCTCTCTAGAATAAGCTCTTCGTTCTCTCTCTAGAATAAATCTTTCCTTCTCTCTCTACTTGACGGCTGATACAGCCTTTCCTCCTTCGCTGCCACCACTATCGCTGTAATAAAAATTGCTCTTTTTTTTCCCCCGCGAAGATTGAACAAAACGACAGAAGAAAACAAAGAGGGAATGCAGCGAAAACAGAGAGAGAGAGAAGAAACCATTGCATTGAAACAATAAGCTGAGCGCTTCTCTTTTTCTAGCTGAGCTCCAAAGTTATACAGAGCACAGAAAAAGCTCTTCTTTGAAGCCATGGATTTGAAAGCTCTAGTGGGGCTTGCGCTTGCGCTGGCTCTTGTGCTTCCGCCATGGCTGCTTACTCCAGCGATAGCCTCTGTTTCTTATGACCGCAAGGCAGTGATCATTAATGGGCAGAGGAAGATTCTCATTTCTGGCTCTATTCACTATCCGAGGAGCACTCCAGAGGTGTGACAGAGGACAAAGTTGTTCTTTTGCTTAAGCTTCTGTTTTGATTTTTTTTTCTATAGTAATTTAGTCTTCTGATAGTTTTAATCTCGGTGTTAGATGTGGCCGGATCTTATCCAGAAGGCAAAAGATGGGGGATTGGATGTGATTCAGACATATGTGTTCTGGAATGGACACGAGCCTTCTCCTGGTCAGGTATTGACTTGAAAAAATAAAAATAAAAATAAAAAATTTCATCTTTCAACGAGTTCTAGCAACATTCATTAAATTTGTAAGCATTTTTTTTTTTCCTTAATTTTTGTTGATTTTTTTCAGTATTACTTTGGGGGAAGGTATGACCTGGTTCGATTTATCAAATTGGTGAAGCAGGCTGGCCTGTATGTTCATCTCCGCATTGGTCCTTACGTTTGCGCAGAGTGGAATTTCGGGTATGAATTTCTATCTTCTGCTGATAGAAATTTAAGCTTAACAAAATTCAAATTTTGCGGTTTGTTTAATTGTTTTTGAAGGCCCTCTTGGATTCTCTTCACAGGGGATTTCCAATCTGGCTGAAATATGTTCCCGGAATCAGCTTCAGAACAGACAACGAACCATTCAAGGTTTAAATTCTTCTAATGTTTGTATTCGTTGAACAATTTCTGATTCAATCTTGTTTCTGAAACAGGCTGCCATGCAAAAATTTACAGAGAAGATTGTATCTATGATGAAAGCAGAAAGTTTGTTTGAATGGCAGGGGGGTCCTATCATCCTCTCTCAGGTATTCAATTCTCATTTCAGTTAAGTTTCATAAACTTTAAAATTCTATATTTTTCTTCAAATTTTCCCTCATTTTTCTTCATCTAGATTGAGAATGAGCTTGGGCCAGTTGAATATGATGAAGGAGCGCCAGTGAAAGCCTATGGAAACTGGGCGGCTAACATGGCTGTTGGCTTAAAGTCTGGTGTTCCATGGGTCATGTGCAAGCAAGATGATGCTCCTGATCCAATTGTATGTTTATTTGTCTTTTATTCTTTTTTCATTTCTTCAAATTTATAGCTTTTATTTACAGTTCTCTTAAGTTTACATTCCCATTCTAAATCACATGAGAAATTATTAGGTGGGGAATGGGAGTCCACACACTCAGGACTTGTGTGTATGGCTTTCTTATTGGTTGTTTGCATGTGTTTCTCCATGACAGCTGCCTATTATGTTTGTTTCTGTTTTGCTTTTGACTTTTTTTTCTTTCCTTTTAAGGGCTATTTAGTTGCAAGTTTTATCTTTAATTTAGGCATAATATTGCCAAATAGTTAAATTTTAGATTTATTAAACCCTGGAAGAATTTGAATTTAAGAAATTTGTATCACTTCTGAAAGTGCCTTTTCTTCTCTTCTTCTCCTTCATTTAAATCAGAAATCCTAAAAACATTTGCTGAACAAATTATTTGTCTCCAATCAAATTCAACGTCTATTATATCAAATAGTTTCCAAGATTTAAATCTTACTGGTTTCCAGATAGTCCCTTATGGCGTCAGTCTTAATCACTTGATATGGGATACTGAACCAATAGAATTAATGTTGCTGAAACATTTTTGTTATTTTGTCATCATCAATCAAGATGCAAATTTGAAAGCAATATAATAGAATAATATCATAATGACTATTGGTCTCTATATTTTATTGTTTATCCATTTAAAAAAGTTTGTAAAGTTCTCTTTGTAGTCTTTATTTGTTGTTTTTTACAAATCTACCCTTTTTTACTTGACAGATTAATACATGCAATGGCTTCTATTGTGACTACTTCTCCCCAAATAAGCCTTACAAACCTACCATGTGGACAGAGGCTTGGACTGGATGGTATATTTGTTGACTTTATTTGACTATTATTATTGAAATTGTGAAGAAATATGAATGAATTAAAGATAATTTATGCTACATAATTTACATAGTTCATGTTTTGCATGAAAGGTTTATCCTACTAAATAGAAAATTTTGACTCTCTTTTTAAAGTAGTGTTTTTTCCATCTATTTCAAGGTTTACAGGATTTGGTGGCCCGGTTCCTCACAGGCCAGCAGAAGATATGGCTTTTGCTGTTGCAAAATTTATTCAGAAAGGTGGATCCTTTATCAACTACTACATGGTAAGAAATGAATAGATTTGAATGGATACAAAAGGCTAATTTGACCGTTAATCTCTTGCTAGATTTATGATTGAAATTTTTTCACTTTATAGTATCATGGAGGAACAAACTTTGGTCGAACTGCCGGCGGCCCCTTCATTGCTACCAGCTATGATTATGATGCTCCAATTGATGAATATGGTAAACATTACTTAGTGGTTCAAAAAAAATTAGCTGATATCCTTCTCAATTTTTAGTTTAGGATAAAAAATGTCTATTTTATGATTTTTGCTAGTTTCTAGGATTTTTCTTTTGGAGAAAATTAACATAGTTATTGTGTGCATTAGGCCTACTAAGGGAGCCAAAATGGGGACATTTGAGAGATCTACATAGAGCAATTAAGCTGTGTGAACCGGCTCTAATTTCCGGCGATCCTATAGTATCATCATTGGGAAATTCTCAAGAGGTTAGTCTATGAAAATAATTATGTTTTATCAAATAATAAATTTTTTGAGTAATTATTTGCAAGCTCATTAAAAATTTCTTTCTAGTCCCATGTTTTCAGAACAAATTCAGGTGCTTGTTCTGCTTTTCTGGCCAACTATGACTCAGGCTCTTATGCCACAGTAACTTTCAATGGAGGGCACTATAATCTTCCTCCTTGGTCCATCAGCATCCTTCCTGATTGCAAAACCACAGTTTTCAATACGGCAAAGGTGAGTCAAATGAATTATGCAGCTTCTAGTTCTTACTGCTTTTCTTTACTGGGATTTTATTTCTTTCTTCTTAAATCAAATGATTAATGTTTAATATTAATCCCATTTTTATTGCTAAGATGATTTGTATTTTGTTGATAACATGAATATAACTCGTTTTGGTTGTTAAAAGTTTCTCATTTTGTGCTAAAAATAGGATTTTAAGTTAAAATGGGGATGCAAGTCCTACTCTGAAACTATGAGGCATGCATTTGTAGAAGATTTTGAAGATAGAATTTGTCAATGTTTTGAGCAAATATGTTAAATGCCTTTTTTCCTTTGCTTTCATTCCAATAAAGAATAGTTTGTACAATCTATTTTAGGTATCCTAATAATACATAATATTTTGATACATATTTCTAGTCTAGCCATTCAACTATAAAGAAAGAATATGTACAATTAATATATAGAGTTTAATTCAACAATTTAAATAAGAAAACTCTTAATACTGCCCGATTTCAGTTTATCTTGATTGATACTTTTAGCTAACCTAATAAATATTCCTAATCTAAATAAGGAGAGAATATAGAAGAGAGAAATTTGAAAATAATTTAAATAAGGAAAAATAAGGGAGCTTTTAATTATAGGAAACTTCTAATTCAGCTGCATGATTTTTGTGATTCTTCAAATCATATAAAGCTACATGTGAATTTTCTCAATTATAGTGGCATTCAAATTTCGCTATAGTAAATTGTAGACAAAGCATAAAAATGTACTATAATTAGGTAAATTTGGGCTTGGTTGAGGAAAAAAGAAGGGCGATTAGAGGATGCCCACAATGTCGGGTATTATTGGGGTGGGGTGGGGTAGGGTGGGAAGGGGAGAGGGGGAGGGGGAGTTGAGCCACAACTCAAATCCTAATAATGCCCTATAAAGTACCCTTTACATGTGTGATTATACCTTATTTTCACCACAAAATGCAGGTAGGAGCTCAGACTTCATTGATGAAGATGAGTTGGGTGGGTAGCTTTTCATGGCAGTCCTACAACGAAGAGACCAACTCTCTTGATGATAGTTCCTTCACAAAAAATGGATTGTATGAACAAATTGGTCTAACATGGGACAAATCTGACTACCTATGGTACACAACTTAGTAAGTTTCCAATTCATTATGCCCATTATTACCATTATAACCTTCTTCAATACACCTTATATTACATTTTTTACACCTTTTAACTCTATCATTCTTCTGTTTTTCAGCGTCAACATAGGCCAAGACGAGCAATTCTTGAAGACAGGAACCAACCCAGTCCTCACGGCTCTATCAGCCGGCCATGCAATGCATGTTTTCATTAATGGGCAATATGCAGGTAGATAGTTTTGCTTACTGAAATATTAAAATTTTTTAAAGTAATCAATACATTGCTCTATTATATTATTGGTGGCAGGGAATGCTTATGGTGGTGTTGATTCTCCCAAGCTAACATACAGAGGAAATTTGAGAATGTGGGTTGGAAGCAACAAGATCTCTATACTAAGTGTGGCCGTTGGTTTGCCAGTATGCTTTGTTACACTTGAATCTCTTTCTGAACAAAATTTAAATTCTGCTCAAATCCAATGCCTCTATTTTGATAAACTTTGGTTCATTTAGAATGTGGGAGATCATTTTGAGACTTGGAATGCTGGAGTTCTTGGCCCCGTGACACTAAGCGGTCTTAATGAAGGAAGCAGAGACCTTTCTCATCAGCAATGGACTTACCAAGTTAGTTACTTTGCTTTCCTCCATTTATTCATCCCTAAAAACAGAAGAAATTAGCACTATCTAATTACTGTGATTGATGCAGATTGGTATGAAAGGTGAACACTTAAGTCTTCATTCACTTGATGGAAGTTCCTCAGTTGAATGGGGAGATGTGTATCCAAAACAACCCTTGACATGGTTCAAGGTGAGAGCTGAACCTCCTTTGTTGTTGTGAAAAACTCTTTTGAAGTTCCAATGTCTAAATTTGTGTGAGCAAATGCATATTTCTTAACATTGCTGTATTTTTTTTCTGTACAGACCTTCTTCAATGCTCCTGGTGGCAGTGAGCCGTTGGCTCTGGATATGAGTAGCATGGGAAAAGGTCAGATTTGGATAAATGATGAAAGCATTGGCCGTTACTGGCCTGCTTACAAAGCTTCAGGCTCATGTGGTGCTTGTGATTACCGCGGTACATATGATGAGAAGAAATGTCAAAGTAATTGTGGAGATTCCTCCCAAAGATGGTGAGGTGTTTCATTTCATATGTTTCTTCATTTCGTTTAAAATAAAAAAATGTTGGGAAATAGATGTAATCTAATTTAAATTTTGAGTGTGAAAAATAAGAAAAAAGTAGAAAAGAAGCTCAACACACCAGAAAACTCATTATAATTGTATATAGGTTTGCGCAAATGTTGGATACATCATTGTTGATTTCATTATGATTTGACGAAGGAGAAATTACAATCTTGATTATGAAATAACCATTTGGGGCCTTCATTTAATCTGCTGATCAGTAGCTTATAGTGATAAGCAGCTGTATAGCACGTTTTTCTTATATATGATAATAACCAGGCCAGAAAATAAAATAAATATTACATTTTTTTCTGGCAACATCATAAAAATGAATCAATAACGGTGTAAAATGTAACAGGTATCACGTCCCACGCTCCTTCTTGAAAGAAACTGGAAATCTGTTGGTTGTGTTCGAGGAATGGGGCGGCGACCCTAGTAAGATTTCATTCGTAAAGCGAACAGTAGAGAGTGTTTGTGCTGAGATTGCAGAATCACAACCGACGGTACATAATTGGAATGCAAAACGACATGGAAAGCCTAAAGCTCATCTTTCTTGCCCTGCTGGTCGCAAGATGAGTAACATTAAATTTGCTAGCTTTGGAACTCCAAGAGGAGTGTGTGGGAGCTACTCAGAAGGAGTCTGTCATGCCCACAAATCTTATGATGCTTTTCAGCAGGTAACTTCTTCCTTCTACAACAATGAAGTGTTTTTATTGGGTACATAAACAAATTGAACTGATTTAGTTATTTTGATTCTTCCAAGGATTTAACTCGGGATGATGGTATATTGCAGAACTGCATTGGCCAGCAATCTTGCGCAGTAGTTGTTGCTTCTGAAGTTTTTGGTGGAGATCCATGCCCTGGAACTATGAAAAGGCTTGCAGTTGAAGCCGTTTGTGAGTAGCAGACTGATGAACTAGTTCCAATCAAAATACTAGATATGATATGATACATATCATATGAAAAGTATGAAGTCTTTGTCATGGCTGTAAGAGGGGACAGTTGGTGAGTTGCAGAAACTGCAACTTACTGATTGATGGAGTTGAAATTTACAATTAAATTGAGAGAGAGAGAGATATAGAGAGGGAGGGAGGGAGGGAGGGAGAGAGTTAGCGTAAATAGGTAGCTGGCTTCTTGAAGTCATATTATAGTTGATTTCCTGATGATTGGAGGTATTTGGAAGTGTGTAGTTGTGACTCTGCATTTATCTTGAGTCCAATACACCATTAAATTTGCAAACCCAGGGAAAATCCTTGGTTTGCTGATAATTGTTGAGAGATGATAATATTTGTTATGAGTTGTTATAGCTTGTCATGAAATACATATGAAATGTATACATCATTTTTCATTTTTTAAGTCTCTTATATGAAATAAAGCTACTCATTTGTTTTTTTTTTTTTTAATTATTACTTCTAGCTTATTTTATTGTGCACCAAGTTTATGGCACAGAAAATCACCTTTGTCTCCTATTTAAATACTTATGTTGTCAGAGATGTTTATTGTCATAGCATTGACTAAAAAATCTCATTCACAAATAGCGTTAAATGTTACAAGCAAATCATTAGAGTTATTAGATTTTTTATGTGAAAACTCTTAGACAATAAGAAAATAAAAAAATAATCTAAGGGGATTGGTGCTGATGAAATAATTTCGCTATTAAAAGTCTTATGTTACAAAGTATACTTTTCAATTAACCAGAGATAGTACTAATTCAAAACAAAAAAAAAAAAGAATGGAAAAAAATATATTCCATTGTGGAAGTTTGGGTCCTACGATGCATGAATTGTTATTAAAAAATGATGAGGGTCGTTTTAATGATCAAGAAAACAGGCACTAGTTATCAATATTTAATGAAACTAGACCTTACCAGGCATCGAACGATATATGATTAGGAGCATTAGATGTTGAGCAATACTTAAGGATTTGCTCAATCATTTTGTAGGTAAGAGTGGAGATAAACAATTATGAAGGCCAACATGGAATGCTAGTAGTTGAAAGTAGTTGGACATTATGAAGCTCTTGATGTTAAGCATTTGTAAATATTGAAGGTTTACTTTGTTGTTCTTATAAGAGTAGAATTCATCAACCAAAAAGGAAAACATCCCATGCTAATGGCTAATAGATATTATACTTTGAAAAAAGTGTCAATCTAGATTCAATTGAGGACATTAGGTGATGTTTGGTGAACTACTTGATTGTTTTTATTGTAAGAGGAGAGACTAGTGATCAGGAAGGGCAGCATAAGATGATTGTGGCTGACTAGTGTTTGACATTGAGAGTCATTGGATGATGGTCAATTAGTAACTTCAGTGGCCTTCAATTATCTCTTTAATTTTTCTCATTATTAGAGGAAAAATACAAGAGATGAATGTAAGCATCAGACATCAAAGATTGATAAACATTAGAATGTGACTAACATCAAATGAAAATAAACTTTAAAGTTTGCATCGTGTGTCAATCAATGATCTTCTAAATCCTTTTGTTGGGAAGATATTATTAACTAGGAAAGTGAGTGTCAGATGTCAGTACTTGAAATACATGATATTCATAGCTTCAAATGATTATCAACTATGAATGTTGGTAATTGAGTGACTCTTAGTAGTATACTTAGTCATTCTCTTTATATGAGAGTTGATTGTTGACAAAGAAGGTTATTATTGGGCATTAGTTATTGAAAGTTCTCAAACCTCTGCATTTATCATAGAATAATTGATAAGAAATTTCAGAGCTTGGGTGATCAAACTTGATCATTATTAACGAAGTGTCGAGGGTAGGGTGGAGGCCGATACATTATGTTGAGTTTAAGAGTGAAGAACTTGAGTAATAATTTTATTATTATTTTTTTAATGTGCCACCTAGCTCACCAAGAGCAAGGACCACCAAATCATACTTAAACTAAGATCCACAAGGCCCTAATTTCAAAATTGTTACAAATAAGTCTCTAAATTTTATTTATCATCATTTATCTTTATTACATGCGGTCACACCATTTTTTGAATATAAAATTAAGAAGTAGAAAAGAATAGAGAGGAAAAATTGTCCCAAAATTAATTATATGAAGTAAATTGTTTAAATTTTAAATTTGACTTGTAACTCTTTCTAAGTCCTTGTTATGGACGAAATCCTCATGCTCGTTCGTTCCATGGCCGAATTTTTTCCTTGCATATATCCATTACTTTCAAAATTTCGAAATTTTTTTTTTTTTTGTATTTAATTCCCTTCTTTAATCTGCTTACTTTTGGTTGAACTTCAATATTTTCATGCATGACTGAATTGTTTAAGTTTTCATAGGCTTTCGTCCTTAAATTTTGAGTAGGTCCAAATTTGCTTAAAAACACTTGTTTTGTTTTTTGGGTTGAAATCTTTATGGATTTAAAGTTCATTATTGTGCTTAATTATTTTAATTTAGGGTTGACGAAATACTTACTAAATTTGCCTTAGTATTCCTTGGTAAATTGGCTTTGTTGTTCATATAAATTGAGGGGAATTTAGCTTTTTTGCATTAATTCTAATTGAATCTAATTTAGCAGGCATTAACAATTGTTGATGGAGGGTATTGGCATTCATTGTCAATGACTTGTTATTAATTGATGATTAGAATTGGGTGAAATAGTTAGTGATTTAGAGTCCTTCATATCTAAAATTTTTCTCTCACTAGAAATTTCTCAAAACATGTAGAAGAATGGGCTATTTATGTATTTTGGGATAATAGTTGGCAATCATTCAATGATATCCAATGTATAAGTTGAACCCCTCAATATTTAGCTTTTGTAAGCATTTGCAACCTTAATAATATTAGAGTCATGAGGATTTTTAAGCTCTAGATGCTTGTTTCATTTAAAAGCAAACAAGATTCCAAGGTTGATTGACACTTTAAATGTCCTTAAGAAACTTTTAATTATACTTTTGAATGTTAATTTAGATTCATTTTGAATTTAATCAAATTGCTCTTGTTATCGTTGGATTCAACTGATTTCTATTAAGCTATATAAGTTCAATGTTTTCAGAAATGATAAAAATTATGTTAAATATCCTTTTATAACATAAATTCATATATTTCATCAGGTAGTGACATGTGTTTCCATAAATACATCATAAATATGCTAATGGCTTGTAAGATTTATGCCCATTTCCAGATATCAAGATTGAAATCTCATTACATATTTAGGGTGTCAATGGAAAATAATAAATAAACGAGTTAAACCTAATAAAGAAAAGGTGCATGAAGCTACATCTCAAACTATGATATACAGATAATGAAAATAACAAATAAATGAATGAATTGACAATATATGAGATCAACCCTATATGTAATGTCAAATGCAATATTGAATTCTTGTGCAAAAGGTTCAAGGACCAAATGTTTAAAAGAGAAAATCGCTTGTTAAGGTCAAGGGTTTAAGCCATTTACCTAATGAGTTATTACTTACCATGTCTAATAAAAAACATTGGATTCTTATATGTTGTTTAAGGATGCATAAAGTCTTTGTTAAGTTAACAAAAGTCTACCTTAGAAAAACATGAAATATTTCAAAGGCATCAATAGTGATACAATAGTGATCAAAAGAAAAAATTGACTAAATTCACACAATTAATAATGATAAATATTGTTTAAAATAAATTTTTTTTAACTTTATAGACGTTTTAAAGTTCAAAAGATTGTATACTGTGCTTATCGTTTGAATAACATTTTACAAGTTATATCACATCTATTATCAAATAATGCAAATAAATGATGTATGTATGGTATATTCGCTTATGTAAAGTTATGATTCAACATTCATTTTGATGAACAAACCTTGTTAATATGTTCAACATGTTAAGATAGACCTGACCACACAAGAAGGATAAAAAAAGAAAATACTTCATTTAGATTACTTAATAATGTTCACATAAAGACAAGAAACTAGTTTCCACATTTCATAATCCACTTGTGTGGATTATTAATTCTTAAATTTTTACGTCATTACATTCTTGTTTCCACCTTTAATTATTATATCATACTATGTGTTAGAAAATACTATGTGTTAGAAAATTTTTGGTTACAGTGAGTCTTCTTTCCTAGTTATGCATGAAAATCCTATACACAAATTGATAAATAAAAAAAGCACAAGAAAGTTTAAAGTTTTTATGCAAAAAAATTAAAAAAAGAAAAAAAATATGGGGCATAACCTAATAAGAATGATTCATTTTAAAGATGAGGTCATAAACTTATTCTCTTCTTCATAATTAGAGAAGATATGATTACAAAGGTAGAACCACTTAATTTGCCTCTTATGACAATGGTAGACAAAATTAAGGGAGATGATAACAATCAGGACATGGTGGTCTGATAATGATTATCAAATGATGATGATTAAAAGGTGAGTTCGGTAACTATGATCAAAGATAATGGTTGGTGAGTGGTAATCAAAGATGGATGACAACTAGACCATAATGCATATGTGATAATAGTCAAACAATATTACAAGATGGCAATCAAACAATGACATATGGGTGATGAGGGTTTCTCAACAAAAAACGAACGGTTGCAAGTGATATCGACTGTTATTAATAATGGTTACTATAGCTCTTTAGAGCTCCACACTCTTTACAATTTTTAGTTTAGATCGATTTCATATGAAAAAAATGTCAATTTATAGTTATTTGAGAGTTACATACTGGTTGCTTTAGCCAACTTTTCGAAATACTTCATCAGGCAATTCATTTTGATTAAATTTAATCATAGATAGCTCATTCAATATATTAGTGTTTTAATGATCTCAAAATTCAGTGATATCCGACTCATTGAATTCCTCTCAATGAAATATTCAATTTTACTATAAATATAAAAAGTCATACATTATTTAACCTTTCAAATAATGTCAAAGTTTTTCAAATGCCCTGAACTTCTTTGAATTGGGCTCATTTAGATTTGGATTTACATAATTTTAGTGTCATTGTATTCAACTTGTTGAGATATTTATTTCAAGTATATTATTTCTAAAACTTGAATTCAAATGATCTTGAGCTTTAAATGTTTTTAATTTAAGACGTGAATCAAATTTTATGTTTTGATGCATGGATTTTTTTAACTTATCATTCCAATAAATTTCTTTATATAAAATATCCTCTCGGAGGATAGCGCCACAAGTTCATATATAGTATCAAGATATCACCTATAATAGAAAATAGTATATCCAGTAAAATGAACATGCAGATGACAATGTGAATCATACCACGTCTTGCTGAGATCCCCCCCCACCTACAAAGGGGCACACATGTATCTTACATGACTGATAAATAGATTTATTGGCAGTTTCTTAAGCTTTCATTATCTCATATGGTCTTCCCCGCCATTAAGTTTTGAAAAACAATGCTTTTAATGAAGTTGAAAAAATAAAGGTTCAAATTTTTAGAGCGAATTACTAAAAAAGTCCAAAGAGGCCTTTAATTTGCATAAAGACAACATTAATTTATAATTAATTATTTAAAAATAAAATGAATAAATATATAACTGAATGAAAGTAAAGTGCTAAATGAGAGATAGCTAAAAGTTTTATCTTGATTCACAATTTAAAAGCTCGAATTGAACCGAGTTCGAGCCAACATCCGCAGAATGTTTACTGGAGTGGGGGCAAAATGCACTTTTGAGAGGGGGCAAATCGTTAAAATGCCTTTCCCTTTTCATTTAAATATGAAATTACCTACATAAAATTTATATTAAATTTATCATAAAATTAATCTAATGATCATAAATTTCATCCTGAATAAAATTTTATTAAGATATTTAAATTCAAACTTAAAAAAAAAATCATGCATTAAAATATTAAAATTAAAAAAATTAATATTTTTTTCTTCTAATTTACATTATTTTTTTTCCGGAACCTCCCATTCTTCTACTAAATATATACTTTCAACAATTTAGATTTACATTTATCTTCCCTAAATTACTAAAGAATACAAATATGCTCTCCAACCACCTGAAATTCCTTGAATTAAACCAAACTCAATGATTCAATTTCTCTCAAATTCCTCACAAAAGATAATTTAGCTTCCAAATTTATAAATTTAATAGGAACATTTACATGCATCTCACATAATTTTAATGTTTTTACATCTCTAACAATTTGTTATTAAAAACCATGAAGGTGTGTTTCATATTTTAATGATAGTGATATTTTTAATGTGATGTTAAAATTAGGGGTGTAAACGAGCCGAACACGAGCGAGCAGAGGCTCAGCTCGTGTTCGGCTTGTTTATATTTGGAGCTCAAAAAATGTGTTTTTGTTCGACTCCTTTGCTTAGCAAACCGAACAAGAGCTGTTCATGAACAAAGAATAATTTTTACAACCCTAATCACGTAGTCATAAGATGTTTAAGGGTTGGGGTAGGATTTAAAAATTATTTTTGTATATTAAAACATCATTTGAATCTAATTTAATGATTTTTATTCTATTTTCTTAATTAATACTTTTAAGTGATCATAAATCTTTGTAGAGTTGTAGTCAATTAATTTTTTAAAAAATACTACTCATCAATATATATAGATAGATAAATATAATTGATGAGTAGTATTTCGAGTCAAACCAGCTGAACACGAACGAACAAATCTTAGTTCGTGTTCTGCTCATTAACTTAGTGAACGAGCTAAACATGAGCTTCTTAATGAGCCGAACATGAGCCGTTCGCGAACAACGAACCGTTTTGACAGCCTTAGTTAAAATAGTATGCTTGCAAATATGAAAATTTAAGTGATTGCTAAACTAAAAAATATATATTTCATACTCACCTCAAGAAAATTTCAATACATTTAAAGCTCATCTTAATATGAAAAGTGATCAGAATATTATGAGCTAAACTTGTCTAATCCAATTATAATCTATGTTTTTAAGCTAATGATACCTACCAATTTAAAAAACAAAAAAAAAACAAAAAATTCAACCCCTAATGTTTGTCTAGGCGTTGCTAAACCAACATATGAACCCAATCCTAGTCCTAAGCCGGACTGAAGCCGGTAATCTGTAGCTTTCCCTTCTGTTTGTTTGCTTGCAAATTAGCCTTTCTTTTGCTCGAAAGAGACGGCAATTTAGTGGTTATGTTCTGAACACTCATTATTAGCCAGCTAATGATGTGCATATGTTTCTACTCCACCCACTATAGTTTGGTCTTAATTAATGATTGATAGATGAAAGCCACACTATTTTTTATATGGGGAATTTAGGAACACAGCACCTAATTCTTCTTCATTTATAAATTTCACATCAAAATTCTCATTTTTATAAATATTTTTCAGCATTGTGGAGCGGCGAAATCCACATTTTCATGCATAGGTAAGGCGTTGTGTTGTAAAATCAAAGTTTTGGTGTGAGATATGTAAATGCATAAGACTTGAGTGCCGTGTAATTTCCGTTTTAAGTTTAATCTTACGTGATACAGTAAGAGTAACATTTGACAAAATGATCAATGTCATAGAATTGCATTTTATAACAACGATTGACGAAATAGCTACGGTGAACTAAGTTCCATAGGATATGATTATTGTTACACGCAGTAAATCTAAGATGAGAGAGCAGAATACGAGTCATTTTGTCTTAGTGGTTGAAGCTTTGTCTTTTAACTATGTGATGTTTGGTTCAAAACCTTCTATATGTGGTGTGCGTATGTTTGAGTGTGTGTGGGAAATCAAATAAAATAAAAGATGAGAGGGGAGAGATTATTAATTTTTTAATCCTGAATATAATATTAATTAAGTAGAGAAAGAAAATAGTAGACTGTTTGTGCTAGAGCCTCAATTGCAAATGTTGGATAAAAATGCAAGGGTGATAGATATGATTCTGATGTTGAGTACTCAATAAAACTATGATGTAAGGCTTATTGTTGCAGAGCGTAATGTTATACGTTTTGTCATGGCACAAGACGTATTATAAACATTGTAAAAATATTGGCTTATTTTGTAGTAAAGGTTATATGGAGAAGGCCTTATAATGTGAAGGTAGTTAGAGGTGTGCTTAAATTGGTTCAAACAAAAAAACTGTACCAAATTAAATATATTTGGTTGATTTAGTTTGGTTGTTGAAAGTAAGGCTATAAAAAAAGACTCTTTGTTCCAGAACAGCTCGTGCTTGACTTAATAATTAAATAGCTCGTGTTTGATTTATTCATTAAACAAACAAGTCAAATACTAACGTTTTTTTAGCTCGATTTATAAACGAGATGAAGATGAACAACCCTTTGTTCGATCAAGTTCTGTTAGTTTTGACTTAAAGTAAATAAATAATTAAAAATAATATAATTATGATATTTTATATTAAAAGTATATGTTATGTTTAATAGGAAAATATATCATTAAAAATATATTAAATGATTTTAAATTGATTTTTATTATTCTAAAATATCTGAAATTAATCTCAGCTCTCGGATCACATATACCATAAATCTTATTCCTATTTAAGAAACTCATTATATAACAATTTTTTTCAAGTTTTTTCGTTTTTCTATCCTTCGATGTTCTTCTATCTTTCTGACGAATATTAACTTATTACTAGAGTGTCTTCTTCTATCTTTGAGACAAATACTTCCTTTATTTTTTTTTATTATTTCATTAAATAAATATTTAAAATTATTATTTTTATAACTTGTAAAAGCTCATGTTGAGTCAAACACGAGCCTAAAATGAACAAATTGAGCTCAATTCAAACCAAGCACGAACATACTGCTAACGAACAATTTCAAACATGCGTGCAGAACACAAATAGTGATTGGGCTAGCTAATGCTCAGCTCATTTACAACCCTAGTTAAGACCACAAATAAAGCTTTTGTTCCAATTAAAGGATTATGTGGATTTTGATTGTTAGCTCAGTTTGAAAAAAATTTGGTTAAACCAAAATATCAAATTATTTTACACTTAAATTAAATTCATCAACAAATTGATTTAATAAATCCATCAAACAATCAATCCAAATTGTCCAAAAGCACACATCTTTATTGGGATTTCAAAATTTTTTTAAACCTAAACTAATTACAATGAACCGACTTATATTTTGATCTAGTGTGGTTCGGTTATATATCTTATTTGGTTGGTATAGTTTTATTTGTGAATTTGGTTTGATTTAGTTTATCTAATAAATATTTCATTATATTTGACTGAACTGGCCATTGGCATAGCCCTAGAGCTAGTTATAGTATTTTTTTAATATTGATAGATCAACTTATAGTCATCAGACTAAAGGAAAAAATATGCTAAATGTTAGTCAATCTAAATTAGGATAGCTTGCAAATTGTAAGAATGTCTCAACTTTCTTACATGAATCAATGTCTCTTCTCAATACGAAGAGTTTGCCACAAATGTATCACTAAATGGCAGAATATCACAAGTATGATAGCTCTAAAAAGCCAAATTTTGTTAAGAAAATTTACACAATAGTGATGGTGCATTAGGGACATGTTGGCACAAGATGTCATTTAAAAAATTTTTTAAAAAAACTAGTGTTGAGATCGTTAATCTAGGTCATGGAAATCACTTAAATCATAATAAATGTTTATTTGAAGGAGTTTCACGGTATGGTAAAACTCTCTCAAAAATCGCATGTCATATCAGGAGTGGTGATGCAAAAATGTATGATAACTCCAATCACAATGTGCAATGTGTACTGTCACACTTGGATAAACAGGCCCATGTCCGCGGCAAAATGAGCGTTGAATTTTGTTAGAAACGTGAAAATGGAGCAGTGGCTCCCCCTCTTCGAAATCTTACTCGACTCACCCTCTCCAGAGGGGGAAGCCTCCTTTTGGCTCTTCGAACAAAACCACCTGCTCCATTCTTCTCCTTGCTCCGCCTTCCTCTCGCTCCTCCTCTCGCCTTTCCCACCTGTATCTTCTCTCCCCACTTCTTCTTCCTCTCCAACCTCTCGCATTTGGCTCCAAACCCTTCCTTTTCCAATCCAAACCAGCATTCTGTCAATCCTCACCGCCGAAAGCCACCGATTCTGCCCTCACAGCCTTCGATCCCTCGCATCCCACATACTCAATTCTGATCTCCCTTCTTCATCTGACCACCCTGCTTTCTGGGTCCGGCGTTCTGCACAAAACTTGTTCGACACTTTGCCTGACCGTTTTATTGAATCAGAGCAACGGGTAAAAGATATTGAGTTCGATACTTTGCCTCATTGGCTTGAAGATGTAGCCAAAACCAGCACTCCTCTTCTCCCCTGGCTTCCTGTCAATGTAAACTTCCTTCAAAAAGCTGCCTGCTTTGAGTTGGCAAAGAAAACCGGAAACAAGGAACTGGTTAACAGGAACGGAAAAATCGAAGCTCTATCGGAATCAAGAGTCAGTGATACTTCTCCGCCTCCCTTTCACCCTCAGTCCTACGAAAAGGCTGTTGCTTTGAGAGTTGAAATCTTGGCTTCAAACTCCACGATGGACTCCCTGCAGTTGGCTGATAAAATTAGGCAACTTTGCTTGGAATCTGGAGCAGGAAATGAGCACAAGGTATTGGAATTGATTGAACCATGGGAGGTAAACGATGAGACCTTATCTGTTTTGCTATTGAATCTTGTTAGTGATGGTGGCTTGTTCTCGAAAACCTGGCCAAGTTATGTTCTATGCTCCATGGCCCTTCCCAAGCTGCTTGCTTTGCAAACTCCGGCTTCTCGCGCTCTGCTTTCGGCCACCATTTTATCTTGCAAGCAGCACCAGACTGCGGCAGTGGAAGCTCTTATTTTCCCTCTTCTGCTTCACAGGGATGGGATCAATGCTGTGCTCTGTGATGTGCTTGTGAGGATAGTCAAAGAATGTTTTCACCCATCTCATGTTTCAGCCTTCTGTCAGAGATTACTTTGTGGGGGAGGAAAGGGCTGGAGGCATATTCTGTTACCTTGTCACCATGGCTTGATATCAGAGCAAGTGGTCTGGACTGAGTCATCATTCAATCTGTTCCAGAATATCATGAATCTGGAAGTTTACTTCACTCCGGATACAAATGATCAGCTTGTTTCTGTTATTGTTGACATGGCAAGTAAGTTCTCAAAGTCGCTAAAGTTTGGCAACTTCTTGTTATGTTTTGTGACAAAATGCAGCTATGCTGTAAGCGCTCATAAGGTTCAGCTAAGAGATGCTGCTGAGAAGACAAGTACTTTGGTGACCAAATCAATTCTCTTGAGATTGAATGCTTAGTGTGAGCACTTTATACAATATTTTCATCCAAATTTTTTTATTTTTTGGTAACATGCGAAAACTTATACTTGAAGTTCGGTTTTTAAGTTCCTTAAGTTGGAATGAGTCTCTTTACGTTAGTTAATCATTTCAACGGGTCTGCGAAGATGTTTTCCGTTTAAGTTCTATAAATTGACTTCCACTCTATTATGCCATCCTTCGATTATATTAGAATTGGACATTATGAATTTTACATTATGAATTTTTTCAAAGCTTTGAACTAACAAAGCTGTAAAGACACAACAGAGGTACTTGAGATGAGTCATATATATATATATATA